CTCTGGTGCCAGTCTAATTAGTGTGAATTGAAGTAAATTGGAAAATCTTCAAATCCTCTTCAAAACTCATCGACTTTCAACCTCTTCTTGTCCCTCATACTTTGAGCTAGGGACACCATGTCAACTTTTAAAGAGTCAGAAGGCCTTGAACTATTGGACATGTATTCAGCTTCTACTTTTTGGAAAAATACATATGTGGGTTGGGTGCCTACCTGTATACTGGATATGTAAGTAAGAGATAACGTTTATTTTTTTAAATTTATTACAGCTGACAAGACATCTAGGTGCACGCCCCCCGACGGCAGCATGCCCCGATGCGCGTGGACTGCGAGGGCCCGTTCATCGCTGCTTGCAGCTTTAATTAGGGCCCGAGCACCTAGCGGTCCGAGGACCCTTTTGAAATGCAAGGATTTTTTATTATTAGGGCCCAAGCACCTAGGGGTGCGAGAACCCTATTGAAATGCAAGGATTTTTTATTATTATTATTATTTATTATTATTATTCTTCCTCCAAATGAATTGCCTTTTTGGGAGGCTTAACATACCCAAAAACTCATGAAACTTTGCACACATCTCAGAACTGGTGAAAAATTTGATATTTTAAGGGTCTCATGTTCGGGTTCCAAGAAATGGCTCAGTAGCGCCCCCTACAAAAGTTTGAGGAAACAACCCCTGAAGCTAGTTTAACCTACATGTATGAAACTCGGCAGGCTTATCTAAAGCCCAGAGATGTACAAAAAAGCCTCTTGGAGGCATGCTCTGAACCCAACAGGAAGTCAGCCATTTTGAATTTACTGTGCAATTTTGATACATTTTTGGCCATTTCCAGGGGTCATAAATGAACAAACTAGTCCTAGAGATTTCATCCGATTGACTTCAAACCTTGGTCTGTCCCATCCCAAGACCTTGAAGATGAAAAGTTATCAAAAGCTTGAGTTTTCATCAATGCGTGTGACCGTGGGATGGCGTCAAAGTTAGGGGTCTCGCCACTAAACAGGAAGTAGTTTATAACTCCAGCATACATGGTCCAATTTTGACCAAACTTCACAGGATTGATGACAGTCCCGCCCTGAACACATCTACATCTCAATAATTAGAGATAAACATAGCGCCCCCTACTGGCAATGGGAAATGTCATGTTTTAGACTTTAATGTACATCTCCTACAGACTTGACCAGATCCACATCAAACTTGGTGAAAAAAGTCATCAGACGTTGATGATGCTTTATTGTGGAAACTGTGAGTTTTCGTCAAAGGGCGTGGCCACGGCCTGGTGGCGAACTTTGATGTTTCGCCGTGATGATAAATGTTGCTGTAACTTGACTCCACATGGGAATATCTTGCCAAAACTTCACACATATGATGACAGTCAAGCCATGAAAACATCTACAGAGGAATTTTGAATCACAGCCATAGAACCACCTTCTGGCAACAGAAAGATACTTTATACATTATTTGATGTCCCGCTTCTAGCAGGTTAATCAGACCCACCTCAAACATTGCTGGTCTAAGTCCTTAAACCTTGATGATACTTAAAAATGAAGCTTTTGAGTTTCGTCAAACGCAGTCACCTTGGCGCCGCCTTGTTTGCCATCAAACACAATGTTGTTATGAAGGGACAAGGGATGCTTGAAAACTCATCAAACGTGGCATACACATCACAGGTCGAACATCCTGTTGTCTGATGTGATCTGTAACACTCTATCACGTACAAGAAAGCCTCTTGGAGCCATGCTCCAAACCCAACAGGACGTCCGCCATTTTGAATTTACTTGTGCCACTTTTGTGCATTTGGTGGGTATGATGTAGGGCCATTCCTGAGGTCATATATTGAAGGTGGTCATGATTGGTCGATGTGGGCGTGGCTTATTACAAGATAAAAAACTAACATTTATTTCAGCTGAACTATTGTACTAAGCGCTTTGAAATTCATAGAGTACATTTAGAATAGGACACAGACCTACCATACCAAAAATTGCGCAGATACTCCACTGGGTGGCGATATAACAGATGCAAACGCATTTTTTCCTGTTACTTCCACATTTTAAATCACATATCCATAAACTAAACTCTTGAGGCCAGCAGCAAAATTTGGTAATGATTGGTCAAAGTGGGCGTGACTTATTGCAACAAACGCATTCAGCCTGTAGTACTTCCAATGCACTTCCCATTACGGTGAATACTGCAGCTCAGACGTTGGCCTATGTCCTGATGCTCGCCCTGTCGTCCTTTGAGGCCGACCATTGTGGGCTCCATGGGGCTTGGAGGCTGAGTTGCGCTGGGAGGCTTGGACCCCATTCATAACTGCTTGCAGTTCTAGTTATTATTAGGGGTCCAAGCCCCCCTGGACTGGTTTCACTCATATCTCTCCAGCCGCACTCAGTTCATTCACATTCACACTATCCTTCCACTCTCATATCAATAATATTACACGGTCTGCATATTTTCATCTCTGCAACATTAATCGTCTCCACCCTTCCCTCAGCCCCCACACCACTTCTATTCTTGTCCATAGCCTTGTCCCCTCCTGCATCGACTACTGCAATTCTCCCTCACAAGTCCCTCCATAAGCTTCAAATGGTCCAAAACTCCACTGCTCGTATCATCACCAAAAACCCCCTCATTCCACCACATCACCCCTGTCCTCCAGCAACTACACTGGCTTCCGGTTAAATCCAGGATTCAATTCAAAATTCTCTTTTACACATTCAAGGCCATCCATAACCTCACCCCCACCATATTTGTCCAATCTCCTCCACATTGCCACCTCCTCCTGCTCCTTCCAATCCTCCCCTGTGCCCACCTCAGCACCATAGGGAGTAGAGCTTTCTGCTGCTCTGCTCCTCAACTCTGGAACTCACCCCTCCCTGACATCCGCAATATTAATTCTCTTCAGCTGTTTAAATCCAGACTCAAAACTCACCTGTTCAAATTAGCATACTCTCTCTGATTGCACTTTCCATTTTTTTCTGTATTGTTTCTTCTGTGTTGTTGTCTCTCCTTGTTGTTATTTATTACTTTTTTTACTATTGTACAATGACCTTGACTGTTTTGAAAGGCGCTTTTCAGATAAAATGTATTACTAGGGAGGTCTTATATGTATTACAAACCCAAATTTCACCCCCTAAACATGCTCAAAAACTCACCAAAATTGGCACGCATGTCAGGACTGGTGAAAAATTTGTTAAAATGAAAAAAATAATCCCAAACGTGCCAAAATGGGCTCTCTAGTGCCACCTAGGCACACTGAAATGGCTGTTGCAGCCCGTAGGAATGTCGTATAAAGACAAAACCAAAACTAGCTTGTTCATCTCATCAAGACCTACAAATCATGCACTGACACCCCTGACTTAAACCGAACTGGAAGTGAGCTATTTGCCGTTTCAAAGTAAGATTTTGCCTCAAAATGCTGTTTTTTCAAAAATTATCTTCTCCTAGAATGTTTATCGTATTGGCTTCAAACATGCACACATGCCAGACCAACTCCTGCTAAACAGATCTTCTTCATACCTTTGTAATTACTTAAACGGTTTGGATTTTATGGCCTCTTCAAGGTGACGTGCCACAAAACCTCCTGACAATCTTTGTGCCACCTAGACACACTAAAATGGCCACTGCTGCCTGTAGGGATGTTGTAGAAAGATCAAACCAAAGCTGGCTTGTTCGTCTCATCAAGACCTAAAAATGACACCCCTGACCTAAATCCAACAGGAAGTGAGCTATTTGCCCTTTCAAAGTAACGTCATTTTTCAAAAATTCTCTTTCTCAAAAAATATTTCCTCCTACACTGTTTATCTTATCAGCTTCAAACTCACACACATGACAGTTCAACCCCTGCTGAACAGATCGTCTGAATAACTTTGTCATTACTCGAACAGTTTTGATTTTATGGGCTCTTAAAGGTGACATGCCACAAAACCTCCTGAATGTCTTTGCGCTACCTAGACACACTAAAATGGCCCACCGTTTATCGTATCAGCTTCAAACTCACACACATCACAGGCCAACCCCTGCTGAACAGATCTTTTGAATAACTTTGTCATTACTCGAACGGTTTGGTTTTTATGGGCTCTTAAAGGTGACGTGCCACAATTGTTGGGATGGTTTGGGAGGGTGGTGGTTTGGGCACCTGTAACAATTGTAATCACTTGAATGATGCAGCTGCCCTTTTCTTGTGAATACCTTTATTTTCAATATATGCTGCAAACAAATGTATGGTTGGTTTAATGGAAAAATTAGTAAAGAATTGTTGAAGGAAAAATAAGGAGAAGCAAGGGAGCAAATGTGTCTTTACATTTTTTAGCAAAAAATAGAACAATATAATGCATCTGATTAAGTGTGCAAGGTTTCTGTGTGTAACACTTTTTTTGGATGATTGATTAAAAAAACACATGCAAAAAACTGAGTCAGTGTGTTAACGCCTTTATACTGTCCAAACACTGAACAATCAATTTTTCAAAGAGCAACAGGTCACATCAGGCTACAACAGTGATGGCACCTTTTGTACTATGAAACTGAAAATACAAAATAAATGGAATAACAACAAGTACAACTTGTTCATTAGGGGGAATGTTAGAATAAGCTGCAGCTTGGCTATATATACCAATGTAAATGCCATTTGCTTCAGTAATTAATCCTTTTCTGCTTCTGTGTTGCACATTAAGTGCATTAATCTATATACTGTGTATTTTGCGTGTGACTGCGTGCACCAGACCGTGTACCCAAAACCATGATGGTTTGGCACCAAATACACAAACATTTACAGCCCCACTACACTTCAGTGATGGTTTATATGTACAGCGGGAGGCAGGGTACACATGAACAGGTTACCAGTCGGTGACAGTAACACATAGACAGACCACCATTCACCTTTGGATGTTATGTTTATTTGCTCAGTTCACACTCTGTCCAGTCAGCTATTATTTAAGTAGATATCAGAGAAGCAAAGCACTGATGTCCTTCCCTCCCTCTCCTGTATTTGTCTGTGTCTCTCTCTCACAGAGGCTAATGTTTCCTCAGTGGTATCTAAGGGTTACATCTTCGGCCTCATGCGGCTTTATGAGGACTGGCACAGAAAGGACACTCAACATATTGCAGTAACAATCCGCCATGCACTGCTGCGCTGCCTCCATAAGGTCACCCACAGTACTGCTGGCAGACAGGCTTTCGTATCCCAGGGAGGCATCAGACTGTTGTATGAAACTACACAGGTAAAGTTCAAATCACCCCTTATTTGGGGCTTATCTGTCTCTCCTTCTCTCTTCTTTCTTTGTTAGTTCTTTCAGTTTTTCATAGAAAATACTGTCCTGTAAGTACTGTAGCTATTACCACTCAGACAACCATGTCTTAACATGTCAGTGTAGTTCCAGTCTTGTTGCCCTTTTACCATTTTCATGGAACCTTTAATCATCTTCACTGTAGGCCTGTTTGTTCCAGTCTCAGAGAAAACCCTTTTGTCTACAACATCAGTAGAAAGTCATACTGTAAACAGCCACTCTGATGTTGAGGCTTCACAAGTTCACTTTTTTTTCTGGTGTCAGTGGTCCAACCTCGGCCCTGTGTCAGGCTTGGCCCAAATAATAAACACTGTATTTAGGTTGGGTTATTGCTGTGGCAAAATGCAAGTGGACTCTCCATCAGCTTTGATCATGTGACGGCTAACCATGTGGTCATTGTTCCAACCAAGTCAATCAAGCAATCAATCAATCAATCAATCAGTCAAATTTTATTGATATAGCACTTTACATACAAAAGAATGCAACACAAAGTGCTTCACAAAATAAAAACAAGGGTTCTAGAGGGTTCATACCATAAAAGCAACTCTGATAAATAGGTAGGACTAAGACCATTAAGAGCTTTATACACCAATAAAAGGATCTTAAAAATCAATTCTCAATTCAATCAATCAATCAATCAATCAATCAATTTTTTTTTTATAAAGCCCAATATCACAAATCACAATTTGCCTCACAGGGCTTTACAGCATACGACATCCCTCTGTCCTTATGTAGCGTTCACACTGGGCACGAGTGAAGCGAATTACTCGCTCGTAACATGAGTAACACGCTGCCCGTAACGCGTGAGTTTAGACGCCTGACCATTTTGTTAATTCGCGTTATCGTGTCATTTGCACGAGTAGCGGGAAAGCCGGCTGTGCTAACTGGAGCTAAGCTAGTGCTAACGTTCATAGTACAACCATTCTGCAAACTAATTAAGGACACATATTTACAGAACTTACCAAGTAGACCAGTCTCCTCGGCGACTTTCACCCAAGCCTGCTACTTTTTGTTGTGGTCTCTGTAGAGTAGACATGTAGTATCATATAGCTCCGGGTAGCCACTGACGACCATGGCTGAGATAACCACCATCGCTGCTTTGTACCTGCTCTGGAAGTCCCAGATGCATCGGAGGGCCAAACGCCATCATTTTTGGGTTCACCCTATCCTGCAGAAGCGCATCCAGCTCGGCGAGTTTCACCATCTCCTCCAGGAACTCCGTCTGGATGATAGCCACTTTCAGCGGTACTTCAGGCTGACTGGGGCCCAGTTTGAGGACCTGTTGGCAAGGGTTGGCGCCAGAATCTCCTGGTAGGACACCAACTACAGGCACTCCATTTCAGCTGCGGAGCGTCTGTCCATCTGTCTCCGGTGAGTAGCAGTTTATTGTTGTGTCAACAACTGGACATTGTTGACACACACCAGTGACATCGGGAGAATCTCAACGCTGATTGGCTTTTGCGGCACAGCGTCACGCGAATTCGCCTCAAAAGTTCAATATTTTCAACTGGAGCGATAACACACTGGACGCGAATTTCGCGTCTATCGCAAAACATTTTATCTACATTTTATCTGTCGCGCTAGACGCATCCATCGCGCCGCCCAGCGCGAATTCGCATCTAATCGCGTCTTTGCATTGACTTTGTATGTAATCTTGATGCGCAAATTTGTGAATTCGCGTTTGGTGTGAATGCAGCTTTAGGACCCTCAAAGCCGATAAGGAAAAACCCCCCAAAAAAACCCTTTAACAGTGGAAAAAAAATGGTAGAAACCTCAGGAAGAGCAACTGAGGAGGGATCCCTCTTCCAGGACGGACAGACGTGCAATAGATGTCGTACAGAACAGATCAGCATAATAAATTAACAGTAATCTGTATGACACAATGAGACAGAAAGAGAGACAGAGAGAGAGACAGAGAGAGATGAAGGACAGACGGTAATGACAGTAGCTTACAACATCATTAATGAAAGTAATAATATTAGTTATAATTCTGGCTATTGTGGTACAATATGTTGAAAGTATATATTAATGTTTGATAGTATACATATGTGAGAATAATCATATGTGTATAATAACAGTCGAAGTATGACTAATCATAACAGCAGCAGCAGGAGGCATCTGGCAGGACCACAGCAGCAGCATAACCACACACATCACACTATCCAGGCACTGCTGCCATATGAGTTAACCTGAGAGTCAGTGGAGCACAAAGGCTCCGGAGAAGAAGCTGAGTTAGTGATATGCAGTACGGCCAAGTTAGCAAGATGCAATAACAAGACATGAGAGAGAGAGAGAGAGAGAGAGAGTAACCGATGTATTATAGGAGGTCCCCTCAGCAGACTAGGCCTAAGTCAGCCTAACTAGGGGCTGGTACAAGGCAAGCCTGAGCCGGCCCTAACTATAAGCTTTATCAAAGAGGAGAGTCTTAAGTCTAATCTTAAATGTGGAGATGGTGTCTGCCTTCCGGACTGCAACAGGAAGATGATTCCACAGAGAGGAGCCTGATAGCTGAAGGCTCTGGCTCCTGATCTTTTGGAGATTTTAGGGACCACGAGTAGCCCTGCATTCTCAGAGCGCAGTGTTCTGGTGGGATAATATGGCACTATGAGCTCTCGAAGATATGATGGAGCCTGACCATTTAGAGCTTTATAAGTTAACAGTAGGATTTTAAATTCAATTCTGGATTTTACAGGGAGCCAGTGCAGAGAAGCTAAAACAGGAGAAATATGATCTTGTTTCTTATTTTCTGTTAGTGCCGCTGCATTCTGAATTAGCTGGAGAGTTTTTAAAGACTTATTAGAGCTACCTGATAATAGGGAGTTACAGTAATCCAGCCTAGAGGTAACAAAAGCGTGGACCAATTTTTCTGCATCTTTTCGGGTCAGGGTAGGCCTAATTTTCGCAATATTACGAAGATGAAAAAATGCAGTCGTGAGGTTTGTTTTAAATGAGAATTAAAAGAAGAATCTTGATCAAATATTACTCCAAGGTTTCTTGTGGTAGTGCTAGAGGCCAGAGCAATGCCATCTAGAGAAACTATGTCATCAGATAAAGAGTTTCTGAGTTGTTTGGGGCCAAGAACAATAACTTCAGTTTTGTCTGAATTTAACATAGGGAAATTGGTGCTCATCCAGGTTTTCATGTCTTTAAGGCAATTATGAAGTTTAGTTAATTGATTAGTTTCTTCTGGCTTCATCGATAAATACAACTGTATATCATCAGCATAACAATGGAAATTTACAGAGTGATTTCTAATGATGTTATCTAAAGGAAGCATATATAGAGTAAATAGGATTGGTCCGAGCACAGAACCTTGCGGAACTCCAAAACAAACTTTAGTACATAAGGATGATTCATTATGAACGTGAACAAACTGAAAACGATCAGATAAATAAGATTTAAACCAGCTTAGTGAACAACCTTTTTTGCCAATTAAGTGTTCCAGTCTCTGTAGCAGAATTTGATGGTTAATAGTGTCAAACGCCGCACTAAGATCTAATAAAACAAGTACAGGGATGAGTACTTTGTCTGAAGCAATCAGAAGGTCATTTGTAATTTTAACTAGTGCTGTCTCAGTGCTATGATGCACTCTAAATCCTGACTGGAATTCCCCAAATAAATTATTATCATGGAGAAAATCACACAGCTGGTCTGCGACTACTTTCTCAAGGATCTTTGAAAGAAAGGGAAGATTAGATATTGGTCTATAATTGGCTAACACCTCTGGATCCAGGGTGGTTTCTTTAGGAGAGGTTTAATTACAGCTACCTCAAAAGACTGTGGTACATAGCCTGTTAATAAAGATATACTGATCATGTCTAATATATGAGCGTTAACTAAAGGTAAGACTTCCTTAAATAGCCTAGTTGGGATGGGGTCTAAGAGACACGTTGATGATTTAGATGAAGAAATCACTGCGGTCAATTCTTGAAGAGAAATCGGGGAGAAGCAATCTAAATATATATTAGGTCTTACAGCTGTGTTTGAGGGCTGATAGGTACTATCTTAGGACAAAAGGTCATGAGTTTTGCCTCTAATAGTTAGAATTTTGTCATTAAAAAAAATCATAAAATCATTACTGCTAAGGGCTAAAGGAATACAAGGCTCAATAGAGCTATGACTCTCAGTCAGCCTGGCTACAGTGCTGAAAAGAAACCTGAGGTTGTTCTTATTTTCTTCTATTAATGCTGAGTAATAGTTTTCTGAAGCACACATGAAGCCAATGCAGAGACTTTAAAATTGGTGTAATGTGTGCTCTCTTTCTGGTCCTTTTCAGCAAAGGGGCAGCTGAGTTTTGTAATAACTGTAATTGAGCAATGTTTTTCTTAGGAAGACCAGAAAGTAGAGCATTACAGTAATCAATTCTACAGGTGATAAAAGCATGCACCATGTGTGTTGGATTGAGAGACAAACTGTTGTGCTCTGGCAATGTTCTTAAGATAATAAAATCCAGTTTTGTCTACACTTCTAATATGTGTTTCAAAATTAAGATTCAATGCAAAGATAACTCCAAGATTTTTAAACTGTTGACAGGGTTTTAGTGCCAGTTCTTGCAGTTTTGTGTTGAGTTTCTCTCTCTCTGAGCTTCAGGACCAATAACTTAGACCTTGGTTTTGTCCTGGTTGAGTTGAAAATTTTTTTTCTGCCATCCAGGACTTAATACCTAAAATACAGTTAAAAAGGGCATCAATTGGTCCTGAATCATCAGGAGACATGGTGATGTACAGCTGTGTATCATCAGCATAACTATAGAAACTGATGCCGTGCCTCTTGATGATGTTTCCAACTGGCAGCATGTAAAGATTAAAAAGTGTTGGACCTAAAATTGCACCTTGGGGGACCAAGTTCAAATACTTTGAAAACCAGACTGATATTTTTCAAAAATGTTGCGGGAGATCATATAATATGGTTAAAAACGAGCTAAAATTTTACTT